TGGCGTCGGTGACCTCGTGGTCGACGGCGAAGGCGAAGTTGCACAGACTGCGCAGCGCCAGCGTGTGCAGGAACGAGTACGTCCCGCGCTTGATTGTGCTACGAGGTGCGGAGAGGGGAAGGTCAGGCGTGCACAAAAGGCGAGGCGCGGCAGAGGGTTGGCGGAGGAATCTGCCCGATCGCGCCAAGCCACGGTGGCGACGAGAGCAGCGTGCGGCTCTCGCGCGTGTTGGGCAGCTTAAGTCCGACAATCGCCGCCGTAATGAGCTCGTCGAGGCCCAGCACCCGGTCGAGGCCGTTGTTGAGGATGAGCTTCAGGATTTGGTTCTTGACGGGCGCGCGCCAGCGGCCAAAGCTCTGGCCGCCCTGCTCAGGCGACCACGCGGCGACACGCGCCGCGCGGCCACCGGCGGGCGGCCTCGCGGGCGGCGGCGGCGCGGGCGGCGGCGTGCGCGCGGCCGCCTTGGCCGCCTCCTGGGCGGCGTCCGCCGCCGCCTTGGCCGCCTTGGCCGCCGCCAGGGTGGCCCGCAGCATGGCGGCGCCCTTGGACTTGGCGCGCGCGCGCGGCCGCGTCTCCGACCGGCCGTCCACACCGTCGCCGGCCTCCGCCTTCTCGTACGCGGACGCGGCGCTGCCCTCGTTGTCGGAGGAAGCCTGGGAGGCGGCCTCGGAGGCGGCGTCCTCCTCTTCCTCGGCCTCCAGCCGCTCTCGCTCCTCCTCCTCCTCCTCCTCCTCCTCGTCGTCGTCGTCGTCGTCGTCGTCGTCGTCGTCGTCCTCCTCGTCGTTGCGGAAGTCGGAGTCGGAGTCGGAGTCCTCGGAGTCGTCCTGCAGCACCTGCGACGCCCGGCCTCGGGACGCGCCGCGCGGGACCTTGCTGGCGTAGCGCTTCGTGGAGCTGGTGGCCGGGGAGGCGCGGCTGCGCTTGGCGGCGGGCTTCGCGCTCTCGCGGGCGGACCGAGCGGGGTGGGCCGAGCGGGGCATGGAGGCTTCGGGTGGGGGGCGTCGGCAAAAGGAGGGTCGCAGGCGCCGATCTCTATCGAAAGGAGCCCGCTCTAAAGTTACTGGTAACAAAGACGCGGCTAACGAAGCCGATTGTCCGGGACACTAAGGATGGAACAAAAGGAGGCGCGCGCTCTAGCAAGGGGGCGTGCTGCGTCAATTTATTTCAGCCAGCCAGTTGGTAACATCCCCGGCACGCAAGGCGCGCGACACACACACACGCCACAGGCGCGACAAGACGTTCCTATTGAACGCTGACAGGGGCTGACGAGCCGGCATTGAAAAACAACTGTAAAAGAAAACCGCCTCAGGGACGGACGATATCGTCCGTCCCTGAGGCAGAAAAAATAAACTACGTTGAAACGTCGGGCTCGGACTGCAGTACCTTGGCGCGAGATGCTGAAGTGCCCCAGGTGCGCCCGACACTGCCGCTCATGGATGCAGCTGTCGTACCACATACGTCTCGATCACGAGAACGACACCGACGCAGCTGCAGCCGCGGTCCTCACACGCGAGACTCACCGCGACGCTGAGCAACGAGCTGTCCGACAGCGGTGCGAGGAGGAGCGGCGCGCCATTGCCCGCAAACCCGGGGAGCCAATGCTTCCTCTGCGGCCACCGCTGCCGACGCCGTACTTTGCCGACGTCGATCCGGTCCAAGCGTTTGGCAACGAGCGGACATTCGAGTTCTACGCGCGAGAGGAGCTGCTTGCCACCTCCGACGCCGACGCGCCAAAGGCGATAGCAACAGAGCAGAAGCACACGGCCGGCTCGCACATGCCACTGCTGATGGACGCGCGGTACGGGCTCAAGCCGCAACGCGCTATCCTGGACGGTCTCCTCGACCAGCTCGGCCTTCGCTTCCGCACGCGCCAGCTCATGGTGGAGCTGGTCCCCGGGCAGCCCGCAGTTGCGGTACTGATGCACTACCGCGTCCTCGCCGAAGTTGCACGCTTCCTCTTTCGCTTCGTCACACCAGAGCACTGCCGACCACGTAAGCTCTTTGATGCCGCGAGTGGGGAGCGAGTCTATTCGGACCCGTACACCGCAGACGCGATGCACGATCTCTGCCGCGAGATCCAGGAGGGCGACCCGAACGCCATTGTGCTCGCCACCAAGCTCTACTGGGACGATACCAACTTGACCAAGAATGGAGAGCGCACCGCGTGCCCCGTCTCTGTGACAAACCTCGCGCTGCCCCTCGAGTCGGTCCGGCAGCCAGCCAATGGCTTGCTTCTCTCTTACTTCTCTCAGCTGCCAGAGTCGGTCATGCTTGAGCTCTCCGACAGCCGCAAGACGGCGGCTCGCAAGGCGCTGCACCGCGCCCAGGTGCGGACCCTCTTTGACAGCGTGGGCGACACGAGCATGGTGGCACTGGCTGGGATGTCTGCTGTTGGCGCGCACGGTCGCGCTGAGACAGTCTACCCGGTCGTGCTCGGTCTCTCTCTCGACTACCCCAAGATAGCCTCTGTGACTCAGACGCTGCAGAACCAGGCCTGCTGGTTGTGTCGCGCGCGCCAGGGGCACGGCTTCTGGTCCCACCAGGAGTACGACCTGCGGACGCGAGACTCGGAGCGAGCCCTGATTGGTCGAGCCTGGGCGAGCAATCCAACCTCGCACGCGGCTCGCGCGCGCATGCTGCAGCCCTTCGGGCTCCATCCTCACCCGAACCCGTGCTTCAATGTGGTTGGGCTGGATGTCTTCCAGGGCACGGCGATCCCGCTGCTGCACTTCACCTACCATGGACCGGGCAAGGAGCTGGTTGAGCACGCATTCAACACCATCCAGAAGCAGACGACCCGCGCCGAATTTGCTGCTCTCGGACGCAAGATTGACGCCTGGGTCGTGGCCAAGGTGGTGCCGACGCACATGCTCAAGTCGAGTTTTGCGCGCGGCATCTCGCACTACCTGTATGGCGCCTACTTTGATGTCCACAATCCCTGGGACTCCACCATCAAATTTGGGCAGGCGCGCCGAGATTCCGCCGAGATTCCGCGAGATTCCGCCGAGATTCCGCCGAGATTCCGCCGAGATTCGCTTAGATTCGCTTAGATTAACCCGTGACACGCCGTTCGCGGAGATTCCGAGCTGAATGTTGTGACTCCTGGTGCGCCTCTTAGATCTCCTCCAAGGACACCATTCGCGACATCTTCCGCTTCTGGCGCATGCTGCTGGTCGACCTATTCCCCGAGTGCCCTCTGATGCTCGACCTCTTCACCACCTACTTTGACTGGCTCGAGCTCGTGCACCGCCGGGCGCACACGGACAGTAGCCTGAGGTACACCACCGACCTGCACGAGCAGTGGCAAGATCTCGCGATTCGCCTCTTTGGCAAGGAGGCCTTCGAGCGCAAGATCAAGTTCCACGCCGGCGTGCACGTTGCGATGTGGACCATCGCGCGCGGCTCCCTACTTTGGTACAACGACGCCGACGGCGAGCTGCTCAACAAGAGCAACGCAAAGGTGCCATGGGGGCGCACCAACACGCAACATGGGCGCCACGGCGCCGAGCGGCAGATGACCACCATCGTGGGGCGGTGCGACCTGCTGGAGCTGCTTCTGCAGGTCCGTCGAGAGCAGGAGGCGGCGGCTGCACCAGTACGCGTGGCGCCGCCCCCGGCTCAGGCGTTGCCAAGTGCGAAGTTGATGGGCAATCGGAGGACAGTACTCCGCATTCGGCTGAATGCTGCCGCCGCTCTCGACCCCGCCCTTCGTCAGCTGCCCTTCTCCACTAGCTTCTACTTGCAGCTCACGTCGAACGGGAGCGAGAATGTCGACTACCCGGGCGGCATGCCGAGCCTCACTTCCGACTCCATCGAGATCCGCCCTGGTGTGGCCGTCCAGCGCTGGTGTGATAGCTTGTGAAGATGAGGGATCGCTCCTCCCCCCCCCCAGAGTGAGGGACATCCATACTGTACTCTGTAGGCCGAGCAACTTTGCTGCAGCCGAGCGGGGGGGCTCGAAATTGCACGCCGCCTTCTGCCAGGACGAGGAGCTCCGACAGCTGCATGCGACGGGAGAGTTTCCTGTCTTTGTCGCTGTTGACACTGGCAACCGCAAGATGTGGTACGGCCAGCTCATCCTTTGCTTTGTGGCCCAGTACATGAGCCCCGTCGAGCTCTGCTACGTGAGGTGGCTGGACTCCCTGCCAGACCTCGCTGCGCAGCGTGTGCGAGAGCTCACTCCATTGGAGAAGGCTGGCCCCTTCGAGACGTTCCGCTGGTCGACGCGACCTGGCAGTCTGAGATCCGGCCACCCACGCGCCAACGCACCGCACTACGGAGTGGTGCGCGCGGACGCGGTGCGCTACCGAGCGGCAATCATCCCGAGCATAGCAGACGACCTGTCGGCTGAAAACCCTCTCTTTCGCCTTAACACTGACATGTACCTGCTCTAGGGTGCGCTTTGTAGTGTACCCCGATACCACGTGTACGTGTGACGGTGTGACTTACGTGTGTGTGTACCGCCACCTGTACAGTGATCAGCGCGTGGCTGTCCTGCTCTGAGGTTTGTACGTTGGCAGCATGAAAAGGAGTCCTTCTAATTTAAAGGTCCATAAAATAATGCCCTTAATATTATTTTACACGTGTTATGTTGCAGGTGTTATTTTATGCCGACACCCATAATTTTACAAATCCGTAAAAATCATGGCCAAATTTGTAATATTATAGGACCGGGGTTTTGTAGATGGGAATCCAGTGGCAGTGCCGCGGTCTCATTCGTGTGGTTTGGGCGGGTGTTGTCACTTGTGTCGGGAGACGTCGTACGTACACAGACATTCTCCGCCACACATGAGACAATTGACATGCGACTCCTACAACGCCTCTATGCTCTGACACAGACAGTAGACAAAAGGGGTTCCGCACCATCGCTCTCGCACACTAGACAGAAAAGTGAAAACGTATCAGTGGTGCGGCTGCTGCCTTGCGAGCGACGCCTGCGGCTTTGGCAGCTCGCCACATCCGGCTAACCGCCCAGCTCCCACCCCGATCTACTACATGTACTACACAAAATCCTCCATGTTCACGCCGGGCCGCTTGACCGCGCTGCGCAGCTCGTCGAGGTCGCCAAAGACGAGCTCGGGCAGCCAGCGCGGCACGTCCACCTGCGCGTCCACTCGCTCCGCCATGTTTTGCAGCGGCGCGACGCACTGCGCCGCGCCGGTGGGCCGCAGCGGCGGCGGGGTCGGCGCGTCGGGGGCGAGGAACCGCTCCACGTTCGCGCGGAAGTTGGCGTCGCGGTACGAGACGCACACGGCCGACACGTGGGTATGGTTGCCCGGCACATAGATCTCGAGCGCGGACGGGCCGAGCAGCGTCGTGCGGTCGCGCCTCACCTCGCAGACCTCGTCGAACTCCGCCTTCGCCTGCGCAGTCATGGCGGCGGCGGCGGCCCGCTTGACCGGGTTCCACGAGCGCAGCGCCGAGGTGACCGCCGCCGCCGCGGCGTTGGGCTCGCCCGCCGCCGCCGCCGCCGCGCCGCCTCCCTCGTCGTCGGTGCCGCGTCCCCGGTCGCCGGCGGCGGCCGGCTCGACCGCGTCGAGCAGATCGCCGCTCACACTGCCAAACAGCTTCTGCAGCCACTCCTTGCGGCGCGTCGCCTTGACAAAGATGGCGGCCGAGCCGTCCGGGCCGGTGAAGCGGGGCAGCGGGTCCTTGCGCTCCATCCACTCGTGGAAGACGAGGGTCTGCATGTGGCGCACCACGTGCAGCGTGCGGCTCGTCGTCCGGACCGCCTCCTCCTCGCTCCGCCCCATCGTCGGGAAGGCCTTCGTGATGAAGTAGCCGAGGGCGGCGTCGGGCAGGTCGCGCAGCTCCGCCAGCAGCTCCTCGGTCGTCTTGTTGGTGGGGGGGGGCTGGTCCGCCTCCGCGTCGGCGCCTCGCTCCGGCCGCTGCGCCGCCGCCTCGGCGGTGGCGCGGATGAAGAGGCACGCCTCCGCCGCGTCGTGCAGGGTCACCTTGCGGCCCTGGCCCAGGTAGCGCATCCCTCGCGGGAAGGGGCCCGGCGGCGGCGGCTCGATCAGCACCAGCCGGCGGGGGTTGCCGCCGAGGCGCTGCGCGGCGAGGCCGATCTGGTGCGCGAGCGTGGAGCCAAAGGGGGCCCCCTTGCGGTACGCGACCAGCTCCGAGGCGTACACGGCGGCGAGCTCGGCGATCGAGCGCTCCACACACTCCTCCTCCACCTTTGTGCCCGCCGCCATTCCCGTGTGCCTCACGGCGAGCACCTAAGGTGAGAGGGGGGGGAGGTAGACGTCTCCACACGCACACGCAGCGGGCGGGGCGATGGAGCCAAGGTGTGCGTGCGTGTGTAAAAGTGCGTGCGTGCGTGCGTGCGTGCGTGCGTGCGTGCGTGTGTGTGTGTGTGTGTGTGTGTGCGCGTGTGTGCGTGTGTGTGTGTGTGTGTGTGTGTGTGTGTGTCTGGCGGCTCGCCCGTCGGCGTGGCCGGGTGCGAGAACCTGTAGGCGATGGAGGTCGAGACGGCCGACGCGGTCGACCGCTTCCGCGCCGCAGTCAGCGGCTTCCGCGTGTCTAGCAGCACCGTCTCCGCTGCCGCAGGTGCTCGGCCAACTCGGCCTCGACGAGTTCGCCGACATCCTCGACAACGTGCCGCCCGGCCTCGACGAGCTGCTTGCCCTCGCTGAGACGCTGGCGGTCGTGCGCGGCGCCGAGCCGGACACCGACGGCGCAGCCTCGCTCACAGGCTTTGAGCGAGTCGTCTTCGACACGGCGCCCACCGGCCACACGCTGCGGCTGCTCGCCTTTCCAGAGTTCCTCGACAACCTTCTCGGCAAGGTGGTGGCGCTCAAGGCGCGCCTCCTCGCCGCCATCGGCCTGCTCAAGGGCGTGCTGGGAGGCAACGACCCCACCGACAAGATCGAGGCCGCCGTCGCGCGCCTCCAGCGCTGGCGAGACCGCGTCGCCTCCCTGCGCGAGCTGCTCACCGACGAAGCCGTGACCGACTTCGTCGTCGTCGGCATCCCGTCGCGCCTCGCCGTCGCGGAGTGCGCGCGGCTGCTCTCTGCCCTCGCCGACCAAGGCGTGCCGGTCTCGCACCTGATCGTCAACCAGGTGGAAGCAGCGGCAGCAGTAGTGGAAGCAGTAGCGGCAGCAGCGGCAACAGTAGTGGAAGCAGTAGCGGCGGCGGCGGCAGCAGTAGCGGCAGTAGCAGCAGCAGCAGCAGTAGCGGCAGCAGTAGCAACAGCGTGTGAGTTGGGTGCCCCTCTTTGTCCTCAGGTCGTGGACGGTGCCTCCTCCGCCGCATACTTGGACCGCATCCGGGCCGAGCAGGAGATCACCCGAGATCACTCGAGATCACTCGAGATCGCTCGAGATCACTCGAGATCACCCGAGATCACTCGAGATCACCCGAGATCACCCGAGATCACTCGAGATCACCCGAGATCACCTCCTCCTGGACCGCACCCGGGCCGAGCAGGGGCGCGAGCTCAAGCGGCTCGACGGCTCTTCCCCGCTCGGCGAGCTCGCGCTCTCGCGGCTGCCCTTCTTCGACCTCGAGATGCGGGGCGTCTTCCCGCTGCAGTACGTCGCCTCGCAGGCCTTCCGCGGCACGAACGCCGACGCATGGGAGGACCTGCTGGCCGACCAAAATGACCGTCCCCTACCCCCACGGTACCCAAACCCATCCCCTCCCTCCACGGTACCCGAACCCACCCCCCCAGGACCGGTTCGTCCTCGTCGGCGGCAAGGGCGGCGTCGGCAAGACCACGACCTCAGCGTCGCTGGCGGTGCAGTTGCGACAGACGGCACCTCGACGCTGCTCGTCTCGACTACGACTGCTGCTACTCTTGACTGAACGAGGAGTCTCACTCTTCTTAGGCCCCTCGACGCTGCTCGTCTCGACTACGACTGCTGCTACTCTTGATTGAACGAGGAGTCTCACTCTTCTTAGGCCCCTCGAAGCTGCTCGTCTCGACTACGACTCTCTGGGGGGAGGCGGGGGCCCTAGAGGGTATCCATGGGGGGGGGGAGATGGGGTCCCATGGCCCGCCGCAGGCGCCGATTTTTCGCGACTTTTTGACCGCGCAAGATAAAAGGGTGGCTAAGGGCTCTGCCCGCAAGGCGCCCGCGTCGCAGACGCGGTACCATTGACAAATCTGCAATATACCCCCACACGAGCAAATAGCAAAATCCGAATACCGTGCACAAATCCGGCGATGTGGGACCCAAGCCTTCAGCTGGTGCCAAGACATTCGTAAAATTGAAGCCAAGATCCGCCAAATCGTGCTTTCGCGCTACCTGAGGGGAAAGCCGCTGATCGAGCCCAGCGTGCCCGCGGCCGCCTCCCGCGCAGCACACCGCCGCTGCGGAATCGGATCGATCCCATGGAGGAGGAGGGCGCAGTCGGCCAGCGCAGCAGGCGGAGTCCCTCCCCGCGCCGGAGCCCCCCTGCAGTCGAGGGAGTCCTCGTTGGCGATGAAGGTGGCGACATCGAATCGCGGCCGACACACGTCACGTGGGAGGAATGGGCGATGAGCGGGAACGATGCGCGCTACGGCGCCGACTCCGCCGTGCTCGTAGCCGCAGAAAGCCGCGCTCCAGGAGCACGCCAAGATGCAATGGCTCGCTTGCTTCGATTCAGCTCTCTCGGCAGCAGAAGTGGGGCTGGAGCGGGTGGGGGTGGATGCCGATTGAGGGGGAGCGTCTCCAGCTGCGCCCTGTGGCAGCTGCGCCCTGTGGCAGCTAGTCGAGGGACTTGGTAGTTGTGACCCCCCTGAGTGAGGACAGGAGAGAGAGAGCGTTTTGTGGTGTTTGTTGGTGTACGCAATAACGTCGAAATAACGGGACAGGGTGGTTGTTCTCTCTATCTCCTCTTCTAGCTCTTAGCATGAGCTGCGCCCGGTGTCCGACCCCTTTTGCGCAGCAACACCTTAAACTTTTAGGCCCTCCAAATTCGGGTCGGAGCGTAGCGGAGTGGGCCCCGAGTTTGAAAAGGGCGACGGACGCTTGCGTCCTAGCCTCCAACAACGCCTCCCCGGCGCAGAGGGGCCCCCGGAGGGATGCACAACCGCTCCACGCCACGCCGCTTGCGGCGGTCCTCTTCCCAGCTCCGCTGAGGGCCGGTGCATTATTCTTTTTTGCGCATTTTTACTTGTTTTCATGGGAATTCGGTGAACTTGCGGCCATGCTATCACGCCTTGCGACAGCCTGTCGGCGCTGCTGACCGTGCCATGCTGCACAATTGATCACCCGCATAGCTCGCGGCCTTAGTATCCACCATTCAGTGACGACCTGATCGTACGGCCAGTAGGAAGGTGTCCTTCCAGCGCGTGCACGCTTCTGACGCAATGCGCGTCACAAACTGCCTCGGCGACTGGCTGCTGGCACTCTCGAGGCTATGCCTACACAGCCTCGCGCGCATGGGCAGTCAAGAGGGACCATGCACTTTCTCAGGACAGCGCCAGTGCCTCTCCCTTGGACCGGCAAACGTGGTGGTCTCGTGTCACCGATGTGGGACCAGTGCGGCATCGCGCCATCGACAGCTCTGAACTGCGCCTCACCACTGACCGGGAAGGCCGCCAAGTGGGCCAGCACAGGTCGCACATTGTGGCAGCAGTCAGCAGTTGTCTGATAGCTAGAGCAGCAGCGTCAGGGTCGCAGGGTCGGATCATGTCAAGCCTCTCGCCCGGCCGGCCGCGTGCAGACATCGGCCTGTCTGCTGTCTGGAGTGATCTGTCGGCGGTCAGTACGACCGATCAGGTCGGAGTTTTCTGATGGTTGGAGGGTCTATCTGTATGTACTCCTCGAGATCTCTCCAAATCTGCCCTCTAATCAACCGTAATCATTCGGGAAGTCGGTGGTATGAGCGAGTAACCATGAGCGTTATGAAGCAAAAGGGTTAACCGTCCTCTCGAATTTCAAATTACAAAGACCGGGCGGGGACTTCGCGACACTCCTTTTTACCCCTAGTGTTACCCATATACTGTCGTCAGTAAGCATGAAAGGTTGTGCAAACACCTGGCACTGGTGGAACACAAAAGTACTGCACCCCGTCCAAGAGGCCGCTGGCGGGAGCTACCGAAGGGGCATGGAGGGCTCTCCCGTACATACACCACTCGAACTCGCTCTAACTCAGCCTAGCTCGGCGCCAGCAGCAGAGGACGGCGCGGGAGGCGGCGGCGGCGGCGGCACGGTGAGATCGCTGGTGTCCCTGCCCGCCTCCCTGCGGGCGTAGAAGAGCGCAGCCTGCTCGGCGGTGGCGAAGCAGCCGAGGAAGACTGTTGTGCCGCCAACCTTCACCTTCAGCTGGTACTTCTTGCTACATTGCCGATTTGGGTAGAAGGTCACGCCTTTGTAGCCGCTGTTGCTGCTGCTGGCGGTGAGAGTCAGGCCCTCCCTCTCCGCCTGCCGTATCGCCTCGAGGCCAGCGGCAGTGGGAGCGGGGCGAGGCTGCAGCAGCTTGGCGGCGTCGGCGCGGCCGTACTCTGACCGAGCGTAGGCGATGGCCGCCTCTTCGGCGGTGTAGCCGAGGGAGACACTTTTGCCAGCAACCCGCACCTGCGCCTTGAACTTATTATTGCCGCGATCGTAGTTCACGTTCTTGTAGCCAGTCGTGCTGTTCTTGAGAGTGGCCGGGATCAGCACGCGCTCGCCCAGCAATATGTAGCTGCGCCGTGAGGGCTCGGCTGAGGGTGAGGCGTCCTGCATGATGTTTTTCGGCGCGCCCCCGGGAAAAAAAGCGCTCAGGTGAGGGTTTTAGCAAAGCGCTCCACGTGCTCCATGTTGGAGGCAGGGCTCTTCTCAGCGGCCAGGCACCTCTCCACTATACACACAATAACTCAGTGCTGAGGCGGCACCCGGAGCAGCACACGCTCACCTAGAATCCCTTTCTGGCCCTCTGCGCTCGCAGCGACTCGTTGCGCCGAGGCGGCTCGCCGCCCAGCGGGCCGCGATTGAGCAAGCGCCGCCGGGTGCCATAAATCTCGCTGCGGCAGCTGGGGCAATCCGTGGCGATGTCGCATCGCCCTTGGCGCGTGACGTAGTCCGCCTGCCGCGGCTTGGTCTGAGCGAGGAGGCACGTGTAGTGGAAGATGTTGTGGCAGCACAGGCTGAAGCCCCAGTGTTCACAGTCCGGGACTAAAGATGAAACTCCGCTTGAGAAGAAGAAGGGAGAAAAATCATTGTAGTGCCAGTCCGAGCCAGTCTGCTGACTGGGGTAGGTTCAAGAATTCCTCCTCTTCTCACAATTCTTTTCGCTTAGGTAACTTTCTTTTTTCTTCTCAATTAAAATCCCTGTGTGGTGGCGGGCGTGCCGTCATCCTCCCATCCCTCCCTTGGGCAACTGTTTTTCTTTCTTTCTCCCTTCTTCTTCTCAAGCCCAGGTGACTTCCGCCGCTCAGCTTCGCTCTGGCTGTGCCTTTTGTAGTGCCAAAGAAAGAAAGAAAGAAAACACACAACCCAAGGGAGGGATGGGAGAACGGCACGCCGCCACCACACAGGGATTTTAAGGAGAGGAGTGTGGTGCGCTAGCCGTCGCCCACCCTGGGGAGTCTGCCTCTTCGTATCTCTTTTCGCAGTCTCTCGCCGCTTCTCGCTGCAACCTTCATGCCACCTCGCGGCCGTCCCACTCTCGTCGGTCTCTCCCTTGTCACTTCCTCCTCTGTCGCGTCGTTCTCTTCTGCCTCGTCCTGCGACGCCGCCGCCTGCCGGTCCCTTGTTCTCGCGGAAGTCCGAGCCAGTCTGCGTACGTAGAATTCTTCTCGCCCTAGGTAACTTCCCGGCTTCAGCGCCGCCCCAGCTTCGCTCTGCCTCGCCACATTCGCATGTACCTCATGCTCACGGCGGTCTCGCTCGCATACCGCGTGCCTTCTTCTCTGGCGGGCCGTGCTCCCGGCGTCGCGCGGCCGCTCGCGGCGAGCAGCCGCAGCGCCGCGCGCGCGCGCGCCGCTTCAGCCTCTGCGACGGCGACCACGGCAGCAGACCGCTTCATCACGGGGCAGACGGGGAACAACGTCACGCCTTACATCGCCAATCTGGTCGGGCGCGACTTGCACAAAACGGCCGATCACCCCATCGGAATCATCAAGCAGAAGATTGAGGACTACTTTGCCACGATCGACGGCGTCAAGTTTGAGATCGCCGACGCGATGGACCCGCTGGTGAGTGCGCAGCAGTGCTTCGACGACCTGCTTATCCCGGAGGACCACCCGGGCCGGCTGCCGTCCGATACCTACTACGTGTCGCGGCCGGGCGGTCGCGAGGCCTCCTCGTCGGAAGACCTTTTGCTACGGACACACACGTCGGCCCACCAGTCGACGCTGATGCGGAAGGGGTACGAGGCGTTCCTCTGCACGGGGGACGTGTACCGGCGCGACGAGATCGACGCGTCGCACTTCCCCGCCTTCCACCAGATGGAGGGCGTCCGCCTCTTCGACCCCGCGCTCGTCGGCGAGGGCGAGATGAGCCGAGAGGAGTGGCTCGCCTCGGACGGCTGCAAGCTCGTGGCCGACGACCTCAAGCGCACGCTGGAGGGGCTGTGCGACGCGCTCTTCGGGCCGGTGGAGAAGCGGTGGATCGACGAGTGCGCGCCGCACGCCCACCCCCCGGGGAGGGCGGCGCGTGGGCGGGAGGGCGGTGTGGGGCGGGGGCGGGGAGAGGGGGGTGAGCGGAGTGGCACCTCCCTGCTGCAGGTACTTCCCCTTCACCGAGCCATCCTTCGAGCTCGAGATCTACTACAACGGCGACTGGATGGAGGCGCGGGCCAGCGCCCCTCGCCGCCCTCGCCGCGCATAGCTAGCCCGCGCGCTTTCTATGCTGAAACCCCTCCTTCTCCACCTCAACCCACAGACTGCTCAATGCGTAGCTACTCTCATCTAGTCGACATCTGAGTCCCTCCTGGCACCGCGGGGCCCTATCTTTTTTA